CCCTTACGCTCTCCACAGGAGGCATAGCCCACTCAAGGGCCAACATTTTTTGGGTCGTCGTGGACGTCGTTGAGTGCTTATCGACAAAAAAGACAAAACACAAAAAACCCAGCCAAAAATTGAAACAAAATTTGGATATACATTTATTTTTTTTGTATTTTTGGGCAATATGAATAAAAGTCAAGTTCACATGGAGCCCGAGGGGGGGACAGCCAGACAATTATTAAGCAAAAGTTTAACGAATTAGAAACAAAAGTGCGCGAGTGAGTGGGTGGCGGGGTGACTGGCTTTGATTAAAAATATACGCAAATGTGCCGTCATTCATGTATGATGGAAAGCATGAACCAAAGCACGGTTGGAGGTAGCAGCTAGGCAGGCAGGCATCCCCCACTTAAGGGTTAAAGCCAAAAGTAACGGGCCCGCCCTTGCCCCATCTTGCGCCTTTCTCTGGGGGAGGGGGGGGAGAAAGACAATAAAATCGAAACATAAATCGAAAATTGTAAAATTCGAATAAGAAAATGTGCGGGAAGATGAGTTGGGAGGGGGGCTTTGGAACCGTGGATGGTCCTGGGAATTGTAAAGCTGTCAAATTTTAATTACAAAACTTTATAATCCAAAAAATACAACAACATCAAGCGGTGGCAGCGGCAGCGGCCCACAAATGAGAGGGATAGAGGGACAGAGAGTGAGTGAGTGAGAGAGACGCACAAAGACAACGCGAATTGCGTGCCCCCAGGGGGCACGGCACCACCAACAGGCAGAAACAGACATCCCATCCGAATCAATTCAATAACTCTACTACCGTTCCCTGTGCGTGTGTGCGTAAATAACTGAATGAATGAATGAATGACTGTTTGACTGACTGACAAACGGAGCAATCGGCAAAGAACGCAAAACTTGACTGAGTTCCTCAGTCCCTCCCAGCCCTTTTTTCGGTGGTTTGGGAACGGCCTTTCCGTGCCAACTTCAACTTGCAAAATGTTTGATTTATGCCTTTGAATTGTTGTAAATTGCCATTGCCAGCACTCCACCCCACCACACTCCTCACCCACCCACGCGCACCCCACCCCGAGGCAATTGACAAATAATGCAAAAATTCCGGGGGAAATTACCTGCGATTTAAGGTCTTTAAGCTGATGAATTGTCTGTCTGTCTCTCTGTCTGGCTGTTCGTTTGAATAACTGAATGAAAGGCTAAGTGAACAAATGAATCGCTGATTGAATAGGTGAGTGCATGGACTAAAAGTAATGCCCTGCGATCTCTGCGACACTCGAAGATCACTGCAAAATAAATCAGTTTTGCACGCTGACAGGAGCCCCCCACTGCCCAACACACATGTGGGGGCCTTTTGTTTTCTGCTTCACTCTTTGTTATCTTTTGTTGCAAATTGCCAACTTGGGCATTGCCAGATGCAAAAGAAATGCAAGAGCCACGGCGGCAGCAGCAGCAACACACAAAAGCCCCGGCGTCAGAGCTCTCTGGGGTGCACTTGGCAGACTTTAAAGCTTCCCGACCCGTACACCCCGCCCAGCCTGCCAGGCGCTGCTCCTTGGTGAGACGAACTGCCGCCAACACTTGAAACAATCAAAAATCAATGACAAAAAGCAAAAGCAACAAAAATGTTCAAATATGGAAACGAAAAGACGTGGCAGCATTTTGGGTTGTGCTCGAAGCGTTGGCTACCCTCGGGCAGCACATTATTTGGAGATTATTGCAAAAAATAAATAAAATAAAACAAAACAAAACATTTGACGACATTGGGACAATCGATGCTCTGTCGCGGCATAGCACTCCCACTACCCTATCCTATTTTTACTCATTTGTCTTTTGGCTTTTTGGAAATTAACAACACAACTCCCCCCCATGCCAGTGTAGCTGCGGCTCCTTGTGCTGTGCAAAAGTTACCCCTTTTTTATATGCGCTATCTCTATCCATCACCCGCGCTACAACTCCCACCCCCACCCACTCCCACTGCCTCCCACTCTGCCCACCCACTCGTCGCATATCTACAATATATATATTTTAAAATTTTTATGCCCGAATGAATTTTAATTCCTTTGACGGTTTTTGCTACCAGCCTGCCAGCTGACGGCCTAAAAGTCTGATGATGCTACAACAACAAAAAAAGGACACCCCCCCACACCACTCCGAGGCAAGAGTGTCTTTCTCTGTGTGTGTGTCTTTGATTGCTTATTGTTAATTTGTATTTGTGGATTGCTGCAGCTCTCTTTGTGTGTGTGTGTGCTGCTGTTCGCTGATTAAACCCTTTTTTTCCAGAGAGAGAAACCCCAAGCCTTGAAGCAAAACCCTTTGCCTCATGTGCCACACACACACTGACACACACACTCGAAGGGCGAGAGAGACAGAGGCATAACCTTAATTCCTTTTGGCATTTTATGCTTCCTTCAGCTCCTGCTTGCCTCCACCTGCTGCTGCTGCGACGTTTCTCGTCTTTTGCCTTCGAGTGTTTGTTATTGTTCAGCCTCTGCCATGTGTGTCTGTGTGTCTGTGTGTGTGTGTGTGTGTGTGTGTATCTGTGTATTGACTGCTTTGTCAATTGTTATGCAAAGGGTAAAGCCAAAAGGGTTGGAGCATTTTTGGCTGCTTGGCAATTTTGTTAATTACAAATCGTTTGCTTTTCGCTCGATTCTAATGTTCACTCTCTGTCGCTCTCTCTCTCTCTCTCTCTCTCTCTCTCTCTCTCTCTCTTACTCTCTGCATAAACTAAGACCCCATCCATCCATATATGACACCCCCACCTATGATCCACCTCTGCTGCTGCTCGTGTCCAGCCTTTGTCCGAGCACATTTCTCATGGGGCGGGGTGTTGCCATGAAAAATGTAAATTTTCATAATTTTACAGTCAATACGAAAAGGGAAAAGCAACCACCTAGTGCCCATGAGTATTTGTTATAGTTTGTATGATTGCTGGCTCCACACTCCAATCCGATGCCTGTCCCATCCCGTATCCAGTATCCAGGACTGGGATACATCCCACAGGCAGCAGCAGCAGCAGCAGCAGCCTCATCAACCACAGAGTTGCAAAAACTTTCTGCTTTTCAAGGGTTGAAAATGATTTCTGCTTTCCGTGGCATAAGGATGGGGCAGTGCCACGGGCCACGGGGCAGGGGAATTCATGTTGAAAATCCAAAAAGTTGATTTATCGTTTTAATATTTCTTTGGCACCCAAAGCGAGCGAGAAAGACTGAGAGAATTCTGTGTGTGTCTAAATACAACAAATCGAAATGACAATTTACAGCAAATGGCAGCCAGTAGAAACTTTTCCACGCGCCTTTCCAGCTGATTTTTCATATGATTTGTGATCAAAATGCGGGTACAGTTGCCACCACATATGACTATGCAATGTAAAGAAAGGATGAAACAGCGAATGAACGAACGGGCCCAGGAACTGCCGCTAATTACGTTTATTTAAGAAAAGCTGCAAAAATTCCGTTTACTCTTTCTTTATTTTTTGTTTTTTTGTATGTCCTCCGAGCAGTTGGCGGTTTGTGTCTGTCGAGCAGTTGGCAATTAGAAGCCACCCCCGTAACCGTCACCGTTACCGCACCCAAAAGATTTTTATGCAATTAATTTGAGTCGTTTGTCGTCTTGTCATGTCTTCAGACCCGTTGGCAGGGGGGCAGCCATTGGGGTTGCTGCTGCTGCTGCTGCTGCCACGTCTTTGTCCCGTATATGCTAATGAAAAATCGAACACGCATGTGGCATGGGGGGGCACATACTCGACTCCACAGCGAACCCTTTCACGTGTGTGCTTCATGTGTGTGTGTGTCCTTTGATTGATAATAGAATTAACGGGGCCTGGCGGCTGTTTTGCATTTTTCGGCATGCCATCCATCCAGTCATGTCATGAAGAAACATGTGGCATGGCACACACAGGCATGCATGATGCTTTCTTAATGCCAATTATGTATTATTGCCTCTACCCGAAAGCAGGCCATTGTTTATGGCCAATAATCATCAGGGAAACCCATCCACAATTATTGATAAAATAGACACGAATCCGAGCCCCCAACATGTGTTCCCATGTTGATGAAATTATTGTTTTATGCCTCTGTTCGACACAAATCACACAATGACACGCAAATTTGCTGTTAGAATTATGCTGATGTCCCCCCTGTTAACTTATTTGATTAACATATGCGAGGGTAGACCAACCCCCACCCCTAAAACTTCGATATTCGATGCCTGATGGCGGGTACAGTTGTGCGCAAAAGTTTCTACCAGCGACCGACCCTTTCCACTGGCATATGCTTCAATTAAAAACCGCGCCATAAAATTAATTTTAATCACATAATAAGAAATACACACACACACACACACATGCCCACCTGCCCCACCTGCCCCACCTGCCCCACCTGCCCCACCTGGCTGTCATTAAAAAATTTCGTTGCATGCCACACGGCTGCTGCTGCTGCTGCTGCTGCTGCTGCCGAAAAACTTTGTCTTGTCAACTTTTGGCGAACAAGACGACGACGCAGGAGACGACACTGTGGCAAGCGGGAGGGGAGAGGGGAAACACACACACCCACACACACCCACACACACACACACACACACATCGTTGATGTTGTCGCTCGACGCACTTAAGAAAAATTCCCTTGTCAAATTTGCCAATTATCATATTTTCATCAAACAAACAAAGTTCCTCCTTCAAAACAAAAGGATGCAGGAGCAAGGGACAGGTGGCAGGGGGGGTGTACTGACTGTACCTGGCGGCGTTTGTTGGTTGGTTCTTAACCTGGGGGGGGGGGGGGGGGGGGGGGGTCTTGGCAATCACCGCCAACCGACATTGACGTTGTTGTTAATTTTATTAAAAATTATTTTATAACTCTCTGAAAACTTTTAACCAAAAATGAGACAGGGGCAAGGCCTGACTGGCGTCTCGATAAATTCCAGAAATACAACCCTTGAACCCTGCTAACAGACAACTGAATGATTCATTACTAATCGTTGACTCCTCTTCTCATTTCTTGCAACAGATTAAAGCACTTCTCGATGAGCTGCAGCGCCTGCGTGCCCTGGAACAGACGCATCTGGTGCAGATCCAGCGCTTGGAGGAGCATCTGGAGGTGAAGCGGCAGCACATTATGCGCCTTGAGGCACGCCTCGACAAGCAGCAGATCAATGAGGCACTGGCCGAGGCCACGGCCTTGGCTGCCGCCGTCAATGCGGCTGCCACCAACAACAACAACAACAGCCAGAGCAGCGACAACAACAAGCTGAACGCCACCTCCCCACTAGAGGCAGCAGCTGGAGCAGCAGCAGGCAACGACCTGAATTCCACCCAGGCCTCAGTCCAGGCTGAGGACGATGACGAGGAGGAGGAGGAGGATGACCACCACCAGGCCATGCACGTGGACAATGACGAGGGAGAGGAGGCCGCCGCCACCAGCACCCACCAGCAGCAGGTCGACGAGGAGGACGATGATGAGGAGGATGACGAGACCGAGGATCAGGAGCATCATCAAGCGGCCATGTCAAACCAAGCCACAGCCAATGCCGACAGCAGCGAGCTGAAAATCAAAAAGGAACAGCAGTGAGTAACCATCAGACCAGTCGTCCATTCCGTCTGCAACATTCATCCGCCCCATATGCCCGGCAGCATTTTGATATCCTTTTTCTATATTTTTCTCTACTCGCAGCAGTCCTTTGGATCTGAATGTTCTGAGTCCCCAGTCGGCCATTGCGGCCGCGGCCGCTGCCGCAGCTGCCGCCGCCTGTGCCAACGATCCCAACAAATTCCAGGCTCTGCTCATGGAGCGGACCAAGGCCCTGGCCGCCGAAGCCATCAAGAATGGTGCAGCCGGCGGCAGTGACTCTGCCAATGCGATCAGCGAAGGTGAGTTCTACAAATTCCATTTGTTTTCTTCTTCTTTTTTGTATCTGTTTCGGTTTCTGTGTGTGTGTGTGTGTGTGTGTGTGTGTGTGCGCGCCTGTGTGTGGGACTATACTTCCGGTGCAACGGCTGCTGTTTGCCTTCAGCGCCTGTCTGCCACACTCCTCTCTCCTAACCCGCTCTCTCCCGCTCTATCTCTCTCTGTCTGCCTGTCGATCAATAGCCCTTCTTATCAATGGGGGGGGCCTCAAGCCAGTCGAGCTTTGATTTTGATCCGACTGTTGGTCGTTCTTTTATGGTTTGTTTGAGGCAGCGTTATCGCAGCAGCAGCAGCAGGAAGAGGTGGAGCCCAGCAGAGGGTAGACGCAGCGGGCAGGGGTGGCGGCAGGTCTGGCGCCAACATTTATGACTCTTTGGTGGGGGAGGGGGGCAAACACAGTCGGAGTTGCATTTTTTTTTCTTCTTTAACTTATTTTCTTTTGCAATTCAAAATAAATAATTGCATCGAGCGATTGATGTGTGGATGTGGGACCATGTGGTTCTTCTTCTTCTTCATCTTGTTGTTGTTGTTGTTATCGTTATCGTTGTTGTTGTTGTTGTTATCGTTATCGTTGTGCATGCTTATCGATAGATCCGACCATCAGAGAACCATTCAAAGAAAACGAAAAAAACAGACAAAACATGTGCCACTCTCTCTGTCTCTCTCTCTCTCTCTCTCTCTCTTTGTCACTCTGTCTGTCTCTTGCTCTCTCTCTCTGTATTTAAATATATCATATAAAATTCTATCTACCAATATATAATCATAACTACCCCACACACACACACACACACACACGAGGTTCTTTGTTATTTTGTTGCACTCAAAATTGGCGATAAAGTGATGAAAAGTGATGGAAAATGATAAGAAAAAACACAAAAAAATAAGAAACAAATATGAAACCGAATTGAAAATCTAATCAAAAAAAAGAGAAAAAAAAGCGATAAGAAAAAAGCAAAGAAAAAAAAACAAACAAAAAAGCATAAACAAATTTTGATTAATTTTTGGCGTTTTGTTCCATGGATGTTGTTGAATAATATGAAAAATAAAATCCCCCCATTATGATATTGCCACCAAAAAAACAAACAAAAACAAACCCAAAAAGCAGCAGCAACAAATCGCACAATTTGTCTGTTGTTTCCCGTAGAGATGCCGCCGCCAGCAGAAGAGGTCAACGCCTCCTCCGACTCCGACTCCGGCTCCGCAGGAGCAGCAGCAGGAGCAGGAGCAACAGGCGCCGTCGTTACATCCCAAAACCTAAATGAAAGTGCAACGCATGAAAACGAAACGGAAACGGATGCTGCCGCATCTGAGGCAAACGATGAGCAGGCGGCCATAACGCGTCCAAAGCAAGAGCTCGAAGACGACAATGAGAATGAGAATGACAACGAGAATGAGAATGAGAATGAGAACGAGGATGATGATGATGATGAGGCGATCTTGCGGCCGCCCGCCACACTTGAAGAGCAGCTGGTCAACAGCTACTGGCGACGCGGCTTCGAGAGTCCCAGCCCACTGCCGCCAAAGCCTGCCACAACAGTTGCCACCATGCCACAGCCAGGGAGCAAAACGCCAACAAATTATCAAAATGTCAATGCGGGGCAGCAGCAGCCACAGTTGCTGCCGCCACCGCCGCCGCCACCACCACCAACCTTGCAACAACAACAACAACAACATTATCAACAACAACAACAACAGCAGCAGCATGGACCCTCGTCCACAGCGTTGCTCAGTCAATTGGTTAACTCCACTTTCTCACATGCCAATCACTCCTCCTCCTCCTCTCGCCTAGATGCCGGATCCCATCCGCACCACCACCACCAGCAGCAGCAGCAGCAGCAACAGTCGCTGCACCAGCATCAGCAGCACCACCAGCAGCAGCAGCACCACCTCCAGCAACAGTCGCAGCAGCACAACAGCAGCAGCAACAGCAGCAGCTGCAATTCGGGTCCTGGCAGCACCACCGATGGCGCCCTCAACCACCATCACGCGCACGGACATGGCCACCACTTGGTGGGCCACAATCCGCACGGCCTGCCCCACGGGCATCCGCATGGACAGCTGCTGCATCCGGCAGCGGCCCACCACCTGCACCACGCCGACTCCAACTCCTCCAGCGCCAACAGCACACCCAGCAGCACCGCCCAGCTAGCGGCCAGCCTGGCCAGCACCCTCAATGGCAGCAAGTCCCTGCTGCAGGCAGCCGCTGCCGCCAATGCCGCTGCCGTGGCAGCCGGCGCCGTCGCTGAGGACAACAACAACGGTCTGACGCCCAATGCCAATGCCAATGCAGCGGCAGCAGCAGCGGCCATGGCCGCTCACGCCCAGCATGCGGCGGCCCTGGGACCGGGCTTCCTGCCCAGCCTGCCGGCCTTCCAGTTTGCCGCCGCGGCGGCCGCCAATCAGGATGCGCGCGGCCACTATCGGTTCGCGGACGCGGAGATGCAACTGCCGCCGGGTGCCTCGATGGCCGGCCGCTTGGGCGAGTCGCTGATACCCAAGGGCGATCCCATGGAGGCCAAGCTGCAGGAGATGCTGCGCTACAACATGGACAAGTACGCCAACCAGGCCCTGGACACGCTGCACATCTCGCGCCGTGTGCGGGAGCTGCTCTCCGTGCACAACATCGGACAGCGGCTGTTTGCCAAATACATACTCGGCCTGTCGCAGGGCACCGTCTCGGAGCTGCTCAGCAAACCGAAGCCCTGGGACAAGCTGACGGAGAAGGGACGCGACAGCTACCGCAAGATGCATGCCTGGGCCTGTGACGATAACGCCGTCATGCTGCTCAAGTCGCTGATACCCAAGAAAGGTGAGTGGATTAGCTATATCCTAACATGTTTATCCGGGGTTTGCGCTTACGAAGTTTGACAGCTGCCAGGGCAGAAAAAAGGGGGGGAAATGTGGGTAGGAGTTACTCCAAAACAAAAAGGCAATTTAAAGGTTATTTCAATTCCAATCCATTCCATGCGCTGCGTTCTTTGAACTAGTTCTGCAAGTTCCCTTTAACTGCAGCTTCAAAATAATATTCTCTCTCCCTGTCTCCATTTCTTACTCACTCTTGCTCTCTCTCTCTCTCTCTCTCTCTCTGTGTGTCTCTCCATTTGTAGCTTATGGCGTTTTTCATTTCATTTGGCCCGAGGCCAAAACATTAAATTGTGAAATTTTAATTATTTTTGATTTTTGCGTATAATCAACGTGCCAACAGCACAGCACAGAGACTTCCACACAGCCGCACAGGCACACAGGCACACAGTCACAGTCATAGTCATATAGTCAGAGCGACAAACTTGACGACGCCAAAAGTGGTGCAATTTGGCAAAGGGGGTGGTGGCAGTCAGGCAGTCAGACAAGTAGAGAGACATTTCAGTGCATTTCGAGCGGCCATTTGCCTGTCGCCATAAATTTCACCAAATTCGCACATTAAGCGTGAAAATGAGCAGGAATTTTGTGTGTGTTCGTTTTTCATCTCATTTCGATTTTGTTTCATTTCGTTTCGTGTTTATTTCATTGTTCCCCCGGCTGTTTGTCAACTGATGATCAGTCAGTCCGCTTGCTAGCTCTTGTTATCTGTTGCCTTGGTTGCTGGCGGCTCCTACGCTCTTTCCGCATATTGATTAGTCATCAATTTTATGGAACTACCCGCCCCCCAACGACGAGTATGTCAATGCAGAAGTATTTTTAAAGTGCCGTTGCACGCATAGCACCCGTTCAAATAACCATTCCATGCCATTCCCCTGCACACACACACACATTGCTGCAACCCATTCCGTTCCACGCTCCACGCCCCACCTGGTGGACAGGGCACATGCGTGTGTGTGAGTGTGTGTGAGGGTGGGGGGTGGTCTAAGTGCAGGCAAATGTTGACAATTAATTTATGACGATTACTCATGGCAGCTAAACTAACTGTAGCCTATAACTGTAACCGTAACCGTAACCGTAACTGTAACTCTGTTTATAGAGCGTGTGGTGGTGGTTCCCTTTTTTCCCTTCCATTCCCATGCTAATTATAAGCAAATATGGGGTTTTAGCTATTAGCAGATCTGTTCTTTGGATTAATATTCCACTCCCCCATGGACAGAAGACAGCATTTAGCCTTGCCTACTGCTAGGGGCAGGAGCAGGAGCAGGAGCAGAAGCTACCCACCTGCAGGGGGTTTGGTGGCACTCTGCCTGCCACTACTGTGCCTTCTGTCAACTCTGTTGGTTAACAATACTTTGAAGTCATTGTGGCAAAAGTTAACCCAGGATCCGCGTCAATGAATTTTGAATTGTAATTGTTTAAAGCGCGTTATGAGCGAAACGGTTAGGCGGGGGTCTGAGTTGGGGTGGAGGAGAAGGAGAAGGAGAAGGACCAGCAGACTGCCGTGACAATTGGTCTGTGAAAGGCTTGAAACAAAATACAACAGAAATAAAAAATCATAAAATAAAAATTCCTATATACTCCCTATTGCACATATATACAAATACATATATATATATATATATATATATATATATATATCTGTATATATATATATATAGCAAAACGGCAGCAACAACAACAAGTTGCAACTGGCGCTGGCTCTGCTTCTGCCACTGCCACTGCCTCAGTCGCTGCTGCCTTCAACGAGGCATGCAAAACGTTGACGTGCCGAGCGTTTGAAGTCGTCTTTGTGGTCGGTCGAGGATGGGGCAGTGGCAGTGCCACTGCCACGGGGTTGAATGGTTATTCCGTCTAGGGTTCTCTTTCTTCCCCTCTCTCCTTTCTCCTCTCTCTCTCTGTGTGTGTGTGTGTGTGTGTGTGTAGGGCCATGAAGGAGTGGGAAGCGCCGCAAAAGTTTTTGCGTTTTCGTTTCCCTAGGTTCTTCATGTTTTTGTAACATTTAACGACAATTGTTGCATATTAAACTGTAAAACTTGGACAGGACAGCAGGGCTGGGGCAATGGCAGGCAGAAAGGATTTGCACTGGCACTGGCACTGGCACTGATATCTGTCATATCGATCAAATGGTTGGGGAATAGCTAAAATAGATACAATAAAAGAAGCAAGATTGGTTTCATGGGTAAAGAACGAACTAAACATCGATTTGCATCATCATTGTTGATTACCAAACGATAATTTATCGATTTACACAAACATGCACGATAATTAATCGATTCAACGCATTTTATTACGTTCCAAGATCAATTTTTCCTTCTCACACATTAATCTTATATCACAGTTATCGCACAGTTATCGCTCTTATCGATAACATTTCGATATCACTTCACTACACAACTCACTCCACTGTGCCAGCACTTCAGTGGCTCAAAAGTTCTAGTCAGAGTACACAAAAAAAACGGAGAAACCAGTTGACAGAACTTTGCCCGAATAAATGCCCGATGTCAGAGGATTTGGGTGTGGCAGCTGCGGGGTAAAACTGTAGAGGTAGCACCGGGTTAAGTGCTCAATTGAAACTCATTTAGCCTGGCCAACGCTCAAAGCCCAACAACACACACACACACACAGAAAAGAAACATGAAAAAGGGAAAATTACTCTGCGTATACGTAATGACAAAAGAGAAATGCAGTGGGTGGAGGGAGGAGGGGTGCTGTTGACGGAGTGCTGCGGCAAGGGGGATAGAGGAGGGGAGGGGAGGAGGAGCCAGCCATTATAGCAGCTAATAATACTAGCATATTAACACATAATTTCTGAGCAGACATCGCCGTTGTCGTCTATTTGTTTTAGCCAGGCCAACGCAGGCCAACGCAGGCCAAAGCGGCGGAGTGCTGCGAGTGGCCAAAAATAGAGCCACAAGAAGGCAGCGCAGAAGCAGAATGGGGGGGGAAGGGGCATGTGGCAGCACGGGAAAAGTGAGAGACAAAACAAAAGCATTCCAAACGCCAGAAGATGCCGGTCCGACTGCCACACATTTATTTGCGGCCGCTTCACAAATTATTTGTCACAAGCCATAAAGCGCGCTATGCATGAGCATATGTGTGTGTGTGTGTGTATTACCAACACTCTCACGTGCTTCGAGTGAGAGAGAGAGGAGACATAGGCATGCGATCTGGTCTGACTAAGTGACCAACGGGGCGTATCAATTCCTTTGCTTGTACGCGATATTTCGGCCTCATCTTGATTGTATTTTATTTGATTTGATTTTATTTATACACAAACACACTCACACGCCACGATGCGGCCATTAAAATTGTTCATTGAGTGGCATCGCATAAGTGTGGCGACTCATTGCGGTAGCAGGCAGACAGACACACAGGAGAAGCACTGAATGGCCTGCGTGGGCAGACAAAACAATAAGCATAAATTAGCGTAAAGCTCGCTCAACAATTTTCATAAATCTGCCGATCACCAAATAAGAATGCAGGGAAATTCTTTAGAGCGCAAAGGATTAGATACCCTGGAATGGGTAAATATTTTCATGATTTATCAAAGGGAATATCAACAGATATTGCTGCAGCTGTAGCAGTGATCGGGGGGGAAAAGAGTTTCAAGAGAATCTCTTTAGTTTATTGTTGAGAACAAATCATCATACCCTCGCCCTCAATGGGTATTTTTCAGAACAGCGGAAAATGGGTAACAAAATGATGTGAAATTTATTTTATTTTGAATTTCTTTGATATCTTTTGTGATGAACGAAATGGGGCAATCAGGCATTTCACGGGAATGGGGCTTTGGCCGAGCAACTGTAGGGGCATCGAAGAGTAATGGCCTCCGATCAAGGAGTGCTAATTTGACGGGGTTGCCAGCAGCAGCAGCAGCAGCAGCAGCAGCATGAAAAATAATATCTACCACAAGCCCCAGAATAAATATAAAATGTATACTAGAGGTACGACCCATACCGCCAGTACCAGTAATATATAAAGGGAGGGGAAACTTTTGGGTTTTGCTGTTGCCTGCCGCAAATTAATGTTGCACATGTCGTGTTCGTGTTGCCAGTTCTTTTTGCTTTTTGCTTTTTGCTTCTTGATTTTTGTATATCTTATTTTGCATATAAGGCAGCTAATTACTTTGTAATGAACTTTGACAAGAGCCAAACACCGAAGGAGCGAGAGGGAGGGAGAAGAAGCAAAAGGCAGGGACTGTGAGGTACGGTTGGTGGGAGAGGGGAGGGGAGTTGGAACAACAAAGCGAAATCATGACGAAAACAAATTAAAATGCAAGACAAAGTTGCTGCTGCTGCAGCACTCACACACACACACACACACACTGGCCCGTTATTTCGACCCATACCCATTCCGGGCATTCCTACCACGCGTTCCAGCCATACCGCTCATTCCATCACCTGCTGTTGTCTCTCTCTCTCTCTGTGTTGCTTCTGTCCTCTCTACGCTCTCTCCATCACAGAGTTCTCTCATATTTTCTGCTTAATTGCAAGACAAACAATGTGTGAGGGAGAGCAGAGGCAAAGAGTTTATGTTGGAAGGTGAAACGTTTTCTTTTTTTTTTGCTTTCTTGATAACAGGTGAGATTTCTGCAGTGCAGTGGCAGTCCCAACCCCCACCCAATCCTGTCGAAGCTCTTCAATTTTCCATGCTACGTTTACCCTCTGCTCATCCAGAATGAGCAAGAAGCTTCCAATTGAACCAAGTCCTGCTGCTGCGCGCCTTCCTTTTCTTCATGTGTTTGTCTCTTTCTCTCCTGTTTTTGTTGTTGTTGTTGTTGTTTTAATTGACACTTTTGCTAATGCCAAGCAACAACAAATGGATAACTGACAAAGGAAAGGCAAGGCTGGGGTTTCGGGGTGCATGGGGCACGACGAAAAGAAATACAAATGACTGGCATTTTAATTAGAAAATTTTTCTTGCAATTAATGCAAATTGCGTGCGTGTGCCAATTTCAATGTGCCGTTCAATTCCACCCATTCCCCCCCCCCCCCACACACACACACACACACTCGCTGACTGACTGACTGACTGACTGAATATTGTGTGGTGGAAAAGGGAAAAGGGAAAAGGAACGTGGTGAACCCTTTCGATGCGACGCGACATGTTGAAGTATGATTACATATTTGTGTGCTGGCAAATATTTATTGTATTAGAATAAAAAACAAACGAATCAGCCCCACATGGCAACAAACCCCCCAGCCACAGCAGGAAAAACCAAAGACGAGGGATTGCCACAGGCAGGAGGAGTATCTCCTGAAGCTGAAGCTGAAGCTGAAGCTGAAGCATCCAACCACTCATGTGTCTGGGCGGGCTTCTTCTTTGCCTCCTCTCTGATTTGTTTTATAAAAGGCAAATATTCATCAGGAAATGGCTGGAGCGAGATGGGTTAGGATAGATTGTCATATATAAAAATATACAAATACAAATACAAATACAAAAATAGATCCACTCCACATGCACGGCTACACATGGAGGTAGACAAATATGATAGCTCATATCTGGCGTCCGGCACAAATCCGAAATCCCTTTGAATGACAATTTGGTCAACATGTTCCTCTCTAATAAATTACAAAAAACCAAACAAAAAAAAGAATTGAGGATTGGGGAAACACAGAATGTAAATTGCAGACAAAAAAGTGGCCATCCATATCTATATCTATATCTATATATATTTATATTTATATATATTTGTGTATCTGTAGCTGTGGAGTAAAATGTTGAATGATGGCCGCTGGAACCCGAAACGAAAACAAAAACTGCGCGCAATGAATCGCTGAGGAAGGTTTGGGGGAGGGGCCAGCAGGCTGCTTTGTCTGCCACATGAGACGCTTAAATGATGGCAACATAACTTAAAGTCGCTGCCTGAAGTGCAGAGCTTTAATCTATGAACTCCAAGCCATATTCCATGCCCTCAGAGCGGATTGCCCATCACCACAATCTTCCACTAAGACCGCTTAAGCTGTCTGTGTCTGTCCATAGCCAAAGCCACATCCATTTCCATTTCCATTTCCATTTCACTCAATTTCTATTCTTTTATATCCTGTTGCAATCTGTGGAGTCTGTGGCCCGGATCTACTCCCATGGTCTGGGTCATTCCAGGTGTCATCAATGTCATCTTCGACTTTATAACACAAAAACACTTTGTAATCCCCAAATGAAGCGACGACAAGGAGTCCAATTCACATAAGGAAAAAATTCACACAAAAATCATTTTTCCAATTTTTATTCGCCATCCAAAAATGGAAGCTGGACAAAACATGGCAACGAGGGGAGAAGGCAGCAAGGACTGGACTGGACTGGACTGAACTGAAGCACTCCGATCTATTGTAGTTGGCCATTTTATCGCCTTTATCCATCTATCTGTGTGCTGGCCACTCCCACACTCCCGCACTCTCCTCCACTCTGAATCTATGAATCTCTCGCTTCAATGGCTCTGTCCAGCAGGGGCTGTGGCTTTTCTTTTTGTTCTGGCTCTGGCTCTGGCTCTGTCTCTGGGTCGGGGGTACATTTGTCATTCATGTGTTGATTTCCGTTTCCGCTTTTCCGTTTCGAGGCGATTCTTTTGCAGTTTTTTATTCAAGTGTTTGCTCCTTTGGGGCATCGATTATGCTTGGCAATTGTAAAGCGATTTTCAGTTATTTCATTTCGCACAGTCCACAGTCGACAGTCCACACATTTTTGCCCCATTTGAAGTGCCTTGAACGTGTGCGGCTGATTGATGTTTGTGCTGTGGCAGCCACAAAACATGCCGCAGGACATCACACAGGAAATTCTATGCTGGCTTGGGGGGCGACTGTGAATGCGAATGCGAATGCGAATACGAACCACTTGTGTGATTATTTTGCAATTTACCACTCGATTCTCTGCCTCTCTGCCTCTCGCTGTGTCACGTGAAAAAGCCAAAAAGCAAAACGCTTCTCCATTTCAATTGAATTTCTGCGGAACAATTTTTCAGTTTTTCGTGCCTCATGTTTTTGTTGTTTGTTGAAATATTTTTTACATATTTTTTTGTTTGCATCCTTTTGCTCTGCTCAATTGCAATTGAATTCATTCATTTATTCATTTCGTTTATTCAACTTGCTGCTCGCTGCGACCAAACTCCCGCTTCGATGAGCAAAACTCCACTCAGAGGAGGAGCAGGAGGAGCAGGAGGAGCAGGAGGAACAGGAGGAACGGGAGGAGGAGGGTTGCCAGGCGCGTGCCAAATTAGCGCAATTCTCTCTCCTGCATCGAACAACTATTTCAGAGTGTGGGGGCGGGGGGGAGGCCACAGGGGCACAGGGAGCCACAAATATAAATTTTATATATTTTTTTGTTCGTTTTGGCGTTGGTTTTTGTTGCGGGAATATAATTGAGCCAGCCCAGCCACTCGCTTGCAATTTCTGTCAGTGTGTTGGGTTGGGTTTGGGTTTGGGTTTTGGGGGAATTTCTCTCAGTGCTGGGGCAGGGGCCACGGCCCTTTCAACTGCAGCGCCGCTTTATGGCCACAAATTCGCTTTGGCTTTTTGAACGCTTTATGGCTTAATTGGTTTTCGGTTTGGACTCCAAGTCGCAGTCGCAGTGGAAGTGTGAGTGGCAGGGCAGGAGTTGGACGCTCAGCCCATGTCCTGTCACAGCCAATAGAGCGAACCTTAATAAATGAGCGGAGCCCAGAGCCCAGAGCGGCGGCCACATAAACTTTACAACCTATAATGGGATGTATATCCATCCATCCAGCAGCCGCCTTTACGATCGCCCTCTCTAATCCGCCCGCCCCCCTCTCTCTCTCTCTCTCTGCTCCTTCTTGGATGCTTTTTGCAGATTCGGGACTGCCACAGTATGCGGGACGTGGCTCGAGCGGCGGCGGCGGTGGCGATGATTCCATGTCGGAGGATCGCATTGCACACATCCTGAGCGAGGCCTCGTCGCTGATGAAGAGCACAGCCGCCCAGCAGCAGCGGGAGCAGCAGGATCAGCACAGCAACGAGGACAGCAAGTCGCCGCCACAGAGCTGCACATCGCCGTTCTTCAAGGTGGAGCAGCAGCTGAAGCAGCAGCACCAGCAGCATCGCGACCAGCAGCACATGGCCTCCGAGCAGCGGGACGCTGTGGTGGCCGCCGCCCAGCAGCAGCACCAGCAGCATCAGCAGCAGCGGGAGCAGCGCGAACGGGAGCGCGAGCAGCAGCAGCGACTCCGCCACGAAGATCTGGCCCAGGACAAGATGGCACGACTCTACCAGGAGCTGATAGCCCGCACACCACGCGAGGCAGCCTTCCCCAGGTGAGTGCCGGACCCCAAGCCCCTCAAGGGAGCAATCTCTGAACTGCCTCTGACATCTCGTCTCTCTCTCTCTCTCTCTCTCTCTTGCAGCTTTCTGTTGTCGCCATTCTTTGGTGGTGCCGCCGGCATGCCCGGCGCGGCCAATGCATTCCCAGTTCCCGACGAGAACATGCGCCACGCCTTCGAGCGGGAGATCGCCAAGCTGCAGCAGCAGCACCAGCAGCAGCAGCAGCAGGCGGCTCAGGCGCAGGCCCAGGCCCAAGTCCAGGCAGTGTCCGGCTTCCCCAACTTCTCCAGCCTGATGGCGCTGCAGCAGCAGGTGCTCAATGGCGCCCAGGATCTCTCGCTGGCCGCCGTCAAGGACATCAAGCTGAACGGACAGCGCGGCTCGCTGGAGCACAGCAGCAGCAGCTCCAAGGACGGTGACCGCGACGATCCGCGCGACTATCCACAGTCGCTGCATGGCCGCAAGTCCGACACACCGGCCCCACCCGCGCCCCCAGCTCCGCCCGCGGGCAGTGGCGGCAGTGTGCCCGGTTCGGCCAACAGCCTCTCGAGCGTCCGCGATGGCGGCGTGGGCGCCGGCGCCGGCTCCGTTGGTGCCGGCAGTCATGCCAGCAACTCGGCCGCACCCAGTCCGCTGAGCAACTCCATCCTGCCGCCGGCACTGAGCAACCAGGGCGAGGAGTTTGCGGCCACCGCCAGCCCACTGCAGCGCATGGCATCCATCACCAACTCGCTGATCACACAGCCGCCGGTTACGCCGCACCACAGCACACCGCAGCGGCCCACCAAGGCCGTCCTGCCGCCCATCACGCAGCAGCAGTTCGACATGTTCAACAATCTCAACACGGAGGACATTGTGCGCCGCGTGAAGGAGGCTCTCTCCCAGTACAGCATCTCGCAGCGGCTGTTCGGCGAGTCGGTGCTGGGACTGTCGCAGGGCTCCGTGTCCGATCTGCTGGCACGGCCCAAGCCCTGGCACATGCTCACCCAAAAGGGACGCGAGCCCTTCATACGCATGAAGATGTTCCTCGAGGACGAGAACGCGGTGCACAAGCTGGTGGCCAGCCAGTACAAGATTGCGCCCGAGAAGCTCATGCGCACCGGCAGCTACTCCGGCAGCCCCCAGATGCCGCAGGGCCTGGCCAGCAAGATGCAGGCCGCCGCCCTGCCCATGCAGAAGATGATGAACGAGCTGAAGCTGCAGGAGCCGGCACAGGCGCAGCACATAATGCAGCAGATGCAGGCGGTGGCCATGTCCGCGGCCATGCAGCAGCAGCAGCAGCAGGCGGCAGCCGCCGCCGCAGCCGTGGCCGCACAGCAGCAGAGCCAGCACCAGCATCCCCATCAGCATCCACATCCGCATCCGCACACACACCAGCAGCATCAGCAGCACCAGCAGGCAGCCGCAGCCGCCCAGGCAGCCGCCGCGCTCCACCATCAGAATATGCTGCTCACATCGCCGGGTCTGCCGCCCCAGCATGCCATCAGTCTGCCGGCCTCGGGCGGCGGTGCTGTCTCCTCTGTGGGCTCGCAACCTGCCGGCCAGGGCAGCGCCGGCGGACCCTCGGGGCCACCGTCGAGTGGCGAGAAGAAGCCCATGCTGATGCCAGTACATGGCGGGGCACATGCGCCCAATGCGATGCGCAGCCTGCACCAGCACATGTCGCCCACCGTGTACGAGATGGCGGCACTCACGCAGGACCTGGACACGCACGACATCACCACGAAGATCAAGGAGGCGCTGCTGGCGAACAACATTGGCCAGAAGATCTTTGGGGAGGCGGTGCTGGGCCTGTCGCAGGGCTCCGTGTCGGAGCTGCTGAGCAAACCGAAGCCCTGGCACATGCTCTCGATCAAGGGGCGGGAGCCGTTCATCCGCATGCAGCTGTGGCTGAGCGACGCCAACAATGTGGAGCGGCTGCAGCTGCTCAAGAACGAGCGGCGGGAGGCGAGCAAGCGGCGTCGCAGCACCGGACCCAACCAGCAGGACAACAGCAGCGACACCTCCAGCAATGACACCAACGACTTCTACACCAGCAGCCCCGGACCCGGCTCCGTGGGCTCCGTGGGCGGTGCGCCGCCCAGCAAGAAGCAGCGCGTCCTCTTCTCCGAGGAGCAGAAGGAGGCACTTCGGCTGGCATTCGCCCTCGATCCGTATCCCAATGTGGGCACCATCGAGTTCCTGGCCAACGAGCTCAGCCTGGCCACGCGCACCATCACCAACTGGTTCCACAATCATCGCATGCGGCTCAAGCAGCAGGTGCCGCACGGCCAGCCCGGCCAGGACAATCCCATACCGAGTCGCGAGAACACCAATGCGACGCCCTTCGATCCCGTCCAGTTCCGCATCCTGCTGCAGCAGCGACTCGTCGAGCTGCACAAGGAGCGCATGGGATTGGGCGGTGCGCCCATACCCTACCCGCCGTACTTCGCGGCGGCCGCTCTGCTCGGCCGCAGCCTGGCGGGCATACCGGGCGCGGCGGCTGCCGCTGGCGCTGCTGCTGCCGCGGCGGCTGTGGGTGCGGCCGGCGTCGGTGTGGGGGACGAGCTGCAGCTGCAGGCCCTCAATCAGGCGTTCAAGGAGCAGATGAGCGGCCTGGATCTGTCCATGCCGACGCTGAAGCGCGAGCGCAGCGATGACTATCAGGACGACCTAGAAATGGACGCAAGTGGCCACAACATGAGCGACAACGAGTCGCTCGAGGGCCAGGAGGCGGAGGACAAGGCCGTCTCCGAGTACGAGAAGGTCCTGCAAAAGTCCGCCCTCGCCTCGGCGGCTGCCGCCTACATGAGCAACGCCGTGCGCAGCTCCCGCCGCAAGCCGGCGGCCCCCCAGTGGGTGAATCCCGCTGGCACCACCACACCCAATGCGGGACTGGCAGCCGCAGCCGTGGCAGCGGCCGCAGCGGCAGCCGCTGTGGCGGCCCAGGCCGGCGCAGGCAGCGACAGTGAGCGCATTATCAACGGTGTCTGTGTGATGCAGCAGGGCTCCTCCGACTATGGTCGGGACGATGCTGATGGCAAATCCGTGGAGGCGGGCGGCAATGATTCGGAGCATGAGCACGCCCAGCTGGAGATTGACCAGCGGTTCATGGAGCCCGAGGTGCGCATCAAGCAGGAGGAGGACGACGACGAGGAGGAGGACCAGCAACAGCACCAGCATCATCAGCAGCTGGATGCTGGCCTCGATTGCGAGGCAAGCGAGGCGGAGAAGAAGCTGAAGGTGATCAACGAGGAGAAGCTGCGTCTGGTGCGCGTCAGTCGCCTGAGCACCGGCCAGGGTGTCGTCGACTCTGAGGAATCATCAGCGACCTGTGTCGCCGCCGCAGTAGCCGGTGGCAGCGGGACAGTGGCAGGCGCCGCCCAGGCGGTAGCCAGTGCCGCGCCAGCCGCTGCGTGGAACTACTAGGACAGTGCAATGATCAACGATGGAGCAGATGGAGTTGGAATTCGAGATGGAGACGACCGTTTACTTGTGATTAAGTTTGGATGTTTAGACCTAGACGTAGACCTAGACCCAGGACTCGCCTCGAGCGGGCTAGATATATATAAATATCGGATACATAAATAGCACCTAGAACGTAGAGAACTCTATATACATATACATATATATTTTTTTTTGTTTTTTTTTTAAATCATATTTACGTACAATATAAAATACGATACGGAATCAATACCTATGGGACTTAGGATAGCAGGATAGCCTTAGGTGTCTGGTTTTTGCCCGGAGTTGTAATAATTGTAGCTAAAAGTTTAGAGACGCTATGCGAGGAGCGCAAAAGTATTAAAATCACCCATGAAATCCCATAAAGCCCCTCCCCCTAACTACCCCAAAACATAACAAACAAATAAGATAACAAAATATAGACAACAAAAAAAGAAGAAGGCCCCCACTGACTTGCCCAAGAACTTTAACCAAAAGCCAAGATCCAATGATAGCGAAAGAGATCTTGCAAAGATTTTTTTTGATTTGTTTCTACTTGAAGACTGTAAGCGAAGGCGGTAGGATGGATGGATGGATAACTGCGTACATAAATACATGTGGATATATCCATATATCATTTTGTGTTTGTCGATCTATTATTACCACAATTACGATTATGATTATACGATTATGATAATGATAATGAATATGAATAATGATACGGCACTAGGGCTCTATGCACATTATTCAATGGTTGGAGTGTAAATACGGACTAAAACGAACCCTGGAGATGTCGCTCTGTACATAGGACTCCTCGCGAGACATGATCTTTCTTTCGTTACTTCGTTCTTCCTTCGTACTCCAACAGATCTTCCCCTCAGTCACCCGACTTGTTAAACTATCTTTTGATCTCAAGCAAAACACACACACAAAACGAAAGGAGAAACGAGTAATGAGAAATGAGAAATGAGAAACGAGAAGCAATTAAGAAACGAAAACCCAAAGTAAAAGATAGTTGAAAGCAAGCAAAATTGCAGCGAGGAAAATGTTTTTGCCCTTTACCGTTTATTTTTTACAATTTTTTTTTTTCATATATATATAAATAAATATTTGTTGAGTAAAAGTTCATTGAGCAGAAAAGCAGAGAAAAGTGAAGCGCAAGCAAAACGAAACGTAAAATATATAACAATAAATTTTGTAAATTTTGAATTTACATAAAAAATCAAACACACACATACACACCCACACACACACCCCCACACCAACACAAACACATACACACAATGATAAAAAATTGAATAATTCATAATTATAGCAAAAGTAAAACCGCAAAATGCACTAAATTATTATTTATAATCTACTTACTCTATAAATAATTATACATAATTACATACATACGCATATACACACATACATATATGAATATATGCAACAACAACAAAAAACGTATGCGTAGAGGGAGACTCGAGGAGTTTATCAACGTGTAGCCTAACGATAATTTAAATTCGCATTAAACCCTAGCATAAATACCAACAATTTCTTCCACTCAAATATTTCGAGATGGAAGCGTAAGCAAACACCAACACACACACAAACAACTTTAAAACACAAACCGCATATCGTACTAAAGAAATTATATAAAAAAAAAAAAAGCAAAAGCAAACAAAAAAAAAAAACAAACAAAAAGAAACATAAAAACCCTAATGTAAGAGAGCCAATTTTTTTTTGCCTAGCGCCTAAGTTTACAAAGTAATCGTACAATTAAACAAATTTCAAAAATAAAAACCAAAAGCAAGAAAAACCCACAAAAAAAAATCAATCTGTTTTCCTAAAACGAACAACAACAAGAAGAAAAAACCAAACAATTTTTAAGGAATATTTAATGCAACCTTTTTTTTCCTAGGCTAAATATTTAAGCATAAAAACCAACTTCTCAAAACCAAAAAGAAAATATACATAAATAAAAGCAAAACAGCAAAAACTAACTAAATTAAAAACTACACAAAAATAAAAACATTTTTGCATAGGCCCGAAATTTGCCGCGTTATTATTATTATTATTATTATTATTATTATTATTACATACATATATATGAAGAGTAAAAGCAGTGGTTGACGAAGAGAAGGCGAAGAAGGAGGAGAAGAAAAATACCAACATATACCAAACACATTTCAAATACCTAAAACAAAAATACAATTTGCGTCTTCAAACAAAATTTATTCAAGAATAAAACAAAAACTAAAACGAAAACGAAAACAAAAACAAAAAAACGTAACGCAAAAATATTAAGCCAATATTTAAAAAATATGCAAAAGACAAACAGCAAATGTGTCAGCGAATCTGTTGAGATCTTCTTTAATTTACAAATATATATATATATATATATATATATATATTATATATATATATATTATATGTATATATAGTTTTTCCAATCGACATTTCCTTTCCTCCTGTTTGTGTTTAAGTTAACGTGTTAAAAACTTTGCATTTTCATACGCTTTAGCTAATGGATAAATTAAACCTAATATGGATATGATAAACGATATTTAAAGAACGTAAATATATATATAAAATATATATACACAAGATATGGGAGACAATGTTGGTGGGGACCGGGACAGGGACACCTGAGAAGACCCCACCCAACCCCATAGAAAACCCACACGACACGATGAAATTGTTCGCAACTTTTAGTTTTAATTATTTCGTAATACACCATTTTTTTGTCTTTGTATTTTTATTATTATTACTATTATTATTGTAATTATTATACGATATATATATATATATATATGATATATCTGATATATATATATATATAGAGGAAGGAACGAAGAGAAGGAAGAAAAAACAAAAGCAAACAACATACCAATAATACATGAACATGAACGAAACTTTATCAAATAAAAATGTTTTATTAAACGAAAAAAAACCCATCGAAAATCCTTTTTTTATTTTCCACAAATTTGTTCCACAAGAAAAACCAAAAAAAAAACCAACGAATATTATTCCCTTGCTCCGAATCCAAATGGCCTTTTGATTTCATTAAGCAAATCGGATGCCGCTGAGGAACGAAAGTACTCGCAATCTCTAATAAATGTCGTATCCCTTCCTGACCCCGCCCACAGCCAACAGCCCACCCACACACACACACACACAACACTTGCACTCAGATGTTGGCTCGGGTGTAGCATACTTTGCGGGAGCTGGAAACATGAGATCCCCAGTGCTATGCCAGCCATGCGGTGCATATACAGCATTTTTATACATACAACATTATATATAGTCACATTTATATATACACAATATGCGGTGCTAGCCAAGTAATTTAAAGCAAACGAAAGAATACTTCAAAGAAAGCAACAACAACAAATATATTGAAGCAAACACCAGATTATACAGATACAGATATACAGATAGTCTATATACATACATACATATAGTGACGTAGGCAGATGAAATTTTTTGCATAGATCCGTAGATGCTTAGGCAGGCAGAACACAGAAGGGGAGAAACATACGTAATTAATTGTAAACTCGATGAAGCACAGAAGCGAGACGAAAGAAGGTAAAACACATTTGATTAAATCAAAACTAGAGCTGTAAATATTATACACAACATGAATTATGAAATGGCATATGCGAAAAGATCTTAGTAATTATTGAAATTATGAAAAATATCCTTCCAATTTAAACACACCAGAACAAGAGCAAGAACAAGGCGCAGGAGAGAATATACTCAACATTTTTATACACTCCAAAATGCAGTTTTTTTGAAGCTCAACTTTGGTAGAAAGTTCTGCATACATATACATACATATAAATGGATATGGATATGGATATGAATATGATTATGAATATGAATGAATTTAAGCCCATGGTGATATACACACACACCCACACACCCACACACACACATACAAAAATAAAAAATACAGATATGGTTATACAATTTTTAAACAATGCCAAGTATCCCTTCCTGCCCCACTCGTTCAAACCCGCGTTTAGCCCCTTTAGCTGTACATATTGACAAAAAGAGAAAAAAGCATAGTAAAAACCAGGAAAAATAGAGAAACCTAAGAGTAAAATAATAAAAGAAAAACAAGAACAGAACAGAACAGAACAGAAAAAAACCAGACCATATCAATATTATGTTTAATAATATGTACGACTAATATGCGAGTTATTTTAGCAGACAAGAAGCAAACCGAAATGCAGAAGAGAAATAGAACCCAACCCAAGGGGTAGGGGGCACCACGTCTTGATTATAATCAGATAAAGTTAACCAACAGATATAGTATATACATATACATATATAAAGATAGTTGAAAGATTATGCTAATGAGCAGAAAAACCGTAGTTAACACACACACACACACACCCACACACACTAAGCGATTCTCCGACAGCCGGCAAGACCCCTCAGTTTTCCACCAACAATGATAATGATCTTAACGAGAACCAGCACCGTTTTTCAGTTTGAAATCCGCCCAAACAAAAAAAGAAAGAGCAATACAAAATGACGATGAGAGAATGGAAATTAACAACAATTAAGATTCTTAAGCAAATTAGCAAAATGTGCCCAAAAAACGAAAACGAAAACGAAAAAGAAAACATAAAAACACACAATTAAAAACAAAACAGCAGCAAAAATATCAAAAATATACATATAAACGAAATTAAATGCAAGAAAAACCCATACATAGAATATATATATTATATATATATATATAAAAAATAGATACTAAAGTTAAGCACATACAATTTTTGGCAAAACCTTGAAACCATTTTCTAAGATCTAAGCAAATCGAACACGGAAATTAACCCCAAAATAAGCATAAATGAAACATACACACCCAGAGATACACACACACACCCACACACACACCCACACACACACACACACATTTTTTTGTAGCATTTCTTGTATAAATGCACACGACATTGAGCATTGAATAAATAAATGGCATATTTTTTTTAAACCTAAGCTAAATCGTAATTGTTCTTTGATTTAAATCATTGAAATTATGGAGTACTCCATGCGCAGACTGCCCGTGTACTTCCGGCAACGAGCATTTTGCTAATAAAATCAAATGAAAACAGAAACTGACACTGCTGCAACAAAAACAACAACAACAACAACAACAACAATTATCAAACAACAACAACAAATTATATTAAACAAAAGTGGCAAACGAAGAGAAGGGGTTGAAAGCGATGATGACGATGATGATGATGATGAAGAGGCGCACGAAATAATGCAAATATAAATAATAATAATAATATGATTAATAAATTAGTTTATATAGCATGTAAAACTGAACAGAGAAATCAAATTCAATAAAGACGAATCTACTGTATTCCAATCAGATGGCTGGTTGTAGGAATAATTAGTTATCCGGGGGAACTGGGAGACCGTATTTAACAGAAGGGAATTTCCAGCTGACTGCAGGTTGGGATCTGAACTTGAAGCTGGGAAATATGTATATAATTGAAATAGCCAGATTTATGGTTACAAAGGTTGAGAATACAAAAATAAGCTAATAATCAAACCAAGATTTAGACATAAAAAAGTGCATCGACATCGATTGGAAATTTATGGCGTAGAATATCATTTATGGTTACATACGTGCAGAGTTGTAAGCCATGAGTTACACCACACAGTGGCGCCACCTGCTGAGCCAATCGTGCACTATGAAACGCAGCGAGTAGCTCACGTTTTTTTGTCGCTAGCCGGCTGCTCGTAGTTCACTGGTTTTCCGCCAGTTGGCGCGTTACTAGAAATTACGTGAAATTTTTAGGGGCCAACGGTTCGACTTAGCAGGCTCCCATTCAAAATTCCCCTTGTCCCAAATCGTTTCGGGTTTGCCTTCAGCCAAGGGCTTTACACAACATTTTTATCAAAATTTCCTAATGAAAATTTAAATCTTTGGTTCCTGAACTCTGACATCACCTCGGCACCGCAATGAGCAACGTGCTGCCACCGAACGGAGAGGGCGATCACGAGGAGCCGTCCCCCTGGCTGGCCATAATGGACACGGGGGCGATCGAGGACAACTTCACGGATCACTATGGCGCTGAGGATGTACGCGATGAGCTGCGCCAGATAATGGCGCGCCACAATGAAGGAGCCGAGAATGCCGATGGACTGCCTCTGGCACCGGCTGAGAACCATTCACTGTCGGACACTGGGTCCTTGCTGACGCTCAATCCGTCGCCGGCCAGCACCAACATTGCCCAACAGTACGTGCGGCAAGATCGTGATAACGGGGAGGACGGACGCCACTTGCGCAGCAACTTGAGGTTGGACTCAAGTCGATCCCATTATCTCCGTAACATTGACTCGATTCCCTATCTGCTGGAACGGCGACCCTTGGCTGCACATTTGCGTGGATTAATCAAGGCGCCCGATGCCAGGCCCAGGGCCAGCGCAAGCGCAAGCGCCAGGAGGGTAGCTAAGAGATCGTCTCGCCATTTGGGCCTCATGGGCAAACTGAACAAGGTGCGGCTGCTGGGCGAGCTGGTGGAAGTGGTGGAGTCCGTGCAGGGAGAGGAGGAGTTCTGTGAACAGCTCCAGCACCGACTAATGGATTTCCGGCGCACGGGCTTTCGCGACATGGAGCCCCTGATGTTTGGCAGCAAGGATCAGGCCGACTTGGTGGGACAGCCGCTGGAGCGATTTCGCTTTGCCGAGGCCATTGCCTATCTTGATCAGAATATGCGCCTGGACAGGGATCTCTATCAGCTGGCCGAAGAGTCCCTCAAGCGATTCAAGTCGCAACGGGCTGTGATGTACACGCGGGCCACTGAGGCACAGAATAAGTTCTATGATCTGCTCGATCAGCTCGTTGAGGGCGAGCACTGCAGCAATATGAATGTTGTAAGTATAATCCACAAATATTCCGCCCCTACATACTTATGCGCCTTCCGCAGCTGGTGCGCAGCGAGTTGCACGAGCTGTCAGGGGCACGAAAATGTCTGCGCCGAGTCGTCAATCAGATGATTATGCACCCCCTCACGGAGAGAACGTACAGCGAGACAATGCGCCTGATCAAGTGTTTGGTGGCCAAGCTGTGCGTCCTCATGCCATTCCACATACCGTGCACCATCCACTGGGGACTGATCCGCAACGAGGAGGTGACCCAACTGGCCAACTCGCTGAGCGATGAGCTGGCGTGCCTGCAGCTGGAGCTGTTGCGCCAGCGGGAGCAACTCTCTCTCGCGCGCAGAATGGAGCAGGAGCGAACCAGCGGCCATCTGCTGGAGCTTCACGTTGGCAACGCCAAAGCTTCGGATGAGGAGATGTCCGAACGGTCCGACCGTCAGACCCTTATCGAGATGCAGGCAGCTCGGCCACAGCAGTTCTCCGACTCGGGCTATGGCACAGACAGAGACTCCGACAGCAGCTCCACCACGGACCAGTGGCGCAGCAGCGACCAGCGTTCGGTGCAGCAGAGTGCGGACGAGACGGCGACTCGCCGGCAGAACTTCGCGGAGGCCATGAGGCGCTACAAGGAAGTCCACCGTCGACGGATGGATGAGCTGTCCGACAATCAGCAGACTTGTAGCATATGAAGAGATAAATCCTCCTACGATTACAGCTACTGATACTCACCGCACCCAGCGCGGCTACCGTGCCAGAGCGTTCGGGTTCCCAGTATTTTGTGATATTCGAGTATAAAACTAAAAAAAACAAACCACTTTCCAACTTGCATATCTAATGGTTGAGTTGATGAGTTGAGACAAGGGAACTGATTGTTGTTGAGCTCTTTCTGAATGGGTTTTGGTGGTGAATAGTTTATTTATTGTTTGACATACACAATTCGCTTATACACAGTGATGCAGGCCCAAAGATCAGTCCCAAATCTGTTTAGCATTTGGTTTGTTTTTGTTTTCCTTTTATCTTTTTGGTACATATGTATAATATATATTATTTATATAATTTAGCAACAAACGAGAACCAAATGGATGCTTTACATTTCAATTGGTTTTCTTTGTGTGTGTTTTTGTTTGTTTGTTTTTTTGGTATTACATCATCCAAAAAGTAGAAAAATGTTATTTCTAAAAAAATACAGGGTAACATTTAGCTCTCATATCCAATTTTCTTTGCTTATGCACGTATTACATATATATAAATATAATTCATATTTTATTTGCTTCATTTGGTTTTCTTTGTCGATATATTTCTTGTTCATTTTTCTATACTTTTATTTATTTTTTGTTTTTTGTTTTTTGTTTTTTGTTTTTGCTATTCTTGTGTTTGTACAGAGGTTTTAGAGACATAAAAACAGGCGCTAGTTGAAACCTTGGAGGGCAAACAGATTGATCATCCTATTCTTCAGAGATATATAGATGTATATGTATGTATTGTATTGTATATAGATGCTATTTAAGTAGATTTCAGATCGCACAAAAAGGTTTTTCAAAAGTGACACAGAGACGATTCTTCGATTTTGTGTGTGTGTTTGTGGCATGCAACAAGGCTATTTCAAAGGCAGGGCTTAAGGAGCAAGTAGACCTGGCTTCAAGCTAACACTTCAACTAACAAATCCGTGAAAACTGTTAACAGTGCGGCCTACACTTCAATCCAAGTGGAGCAGTGGCTGTGGCGGGTCGGGGGCTGGGGTCTGGGGTCTGGGGGCCTAGGGCAGGCACTTACAATAGCTCAACATAAACCGACATCTATCGATCCTACGGATCTGCCCTATAATCTAAATATCTAAATATAATTATATACAACTATGGACTAAATTCACAGTTCACGATCCATCAACGTATGAGAAAGCACTTTTGATGGTTAAAGTGTAGCGAGGGAAATCCCCATGGCCGGACGTCTACCTTAGAAAGAGAGATGGAAGTGTGCAATCCATCTCTGCTTGCCCCATCACTATATATGTTATATAATTACCCACTTAAGTCACTTCCGGAATACACAAATAGATAACGAAACAAACGAAAATTGATTCACATTTTGATTTGTGTGTATTTGGTATGCAAAAAAAGTTTTAAAATCGAATATATATATATGCCCTACATCAATATGCATGCATGCACATATATATATATCTCAATAATAATAGTAATAGTAATGGTAATAATAATATAGTAATAATAATAATAATAAAGATGTTGTATAATAATAAAATAGAAGAAAAAAAACACATTAACAAAACAGTTTTGCTCATCGCGGGCAGAAGACGGGTAGGTTGGGGTAGGGTAGTGTAGGATAGGGGGCATAGTACCATATCGGATCAGATCGGACCGGTTAGGTTCGGTTCGGTTCTCCACCTTCTCTCTCTCTCTCTCTCTCTCTCTCTCTCTCTCTCTCTTTCTTTTTTATCCGTTGATTTAGTATTTGTATATATATATATATAATATATGTGTGTTTGTGTATAAACAATAAAGCTTAATGGTTTATAACAATATTTATATATGCATCTATGTACTTTGCTATTGCCGTGTGTTTGTGTGTGTAGATATTTATATTTGTAGAGTGTAGGCTGTTGTGTGTCCTATGTATATCTGTGTATATAGAACTGTCAACTGTATTCAACTTCGGCGAAAAAAACGACAACAATTCGGGCGGCGATTGTCTTTCGCGTGGGCATGGCATCGTACGGTGTGACTGGGCTCGGCTCGGAGATTTTACAATTATTTGGATGTTTTTTTTTCCCCCTCTTTGCCCTGCCACACACAGTTGCCACTATCCCCAACACATGCGCTTCACGGCCATTCTAGCATAATTAAACTAAAACATAATAGTAATAATATTAATATAAAAAAAAAAAAAGTGTGTGTAATATTACAATTTTTGAGCAAACAAAAAAAATTTCAACATTTGTTTCATTTTTGTTTGTGGTTCTTTTTGTTGCAACAACTAGCAGATTGGTTTCTTTCACATCATCATTCAGTTTTAGTTTTAGTTTTTAGTTTTAAGTTTAATTATATAACTTCTTAATGCGTTCTTTGCTTTTCTTTTCTTTTCGTTTTATTTTTTCTTGGCTAAAAAGGTACATGAAGTGTATACACTTGGGGCGTTCTTTGTCCAGTTCTCGTCCCTCCTCTGTTCATTTTCATATACATATATATATAGATTTATTTATATGGTAATAAGTATTTCTTGGTTTCCACAGATGTATGTATATATATGTATATAGGATTTGTTTTTATGTTTTTTATGTTTTTGCATAGATTGCAGCATTGTTTCAACGTCGGCTCTTTCGAGGCATTTCTCGGGTATATACACATTCCGCTCTAGGCTCTGATTTAGAGGGGGCAGAGGGTCCTGATTTCAACTAAAGTCTGCTTACAGTCTGATTAACAATTCTTTTAGCATTTTAACTACGTAACCATTAGTGGGTAGAGGGGGAGTAGTGGGAAGGGGGCATGGGATTGGTGGCCTAACTTAATTAGGGTTTCGCTTTTGCTTGCTTTGTGGCTTTAACTTATATATGTATCTAAATATCTTTGATTTAACATTTTGTTTTGTTTTCTTGAGTGCCATCATCGTGTTGTGTGTGGTCTAGCAGTATATAGTGTACATGGCATATACCTAACTATATATTGATCGCATCGTCCGTTTAACAAAGCAGCTCAAACAATTCTCAACAGATCTCATTACTTCTTATTCAACTTTTGCTAAGGACTCGATTCGTAAGGCGCTAAGTGTGTCTGGGCTTCCTGCTTATGTATTACTCTTTCTCTTTCTTTCTCTCTCTCTCTCTTCTATATTATATATAAATTTATTTATAGATCGTGTAAGTAGTTTTCCATTCATGTGTGTCTGTGTTTGTGTGTTTATGATTCTTATTTGTATAGAAAACATTTTGCTTACAGCAGAAAACAAAAACTTTAAAAATAATTATTTTACCCCTTTTGTTGTTATTCTTAGTATAAAATTGTTTGCTTTCTTGTTTCTGCCTTTTTTTTCCTTGTTTTACAATTTTTATGTTTTGCATTCTTTTGCTTTTTTTACAATTTCATACTTCCTTTTTTGTACAATTTTCTTCTTCTTCTTTTTGCTTTTTTTTTTACAAATTTCTCCTTGGTTGTACAAGTTCTTGTTCTTTTTGTTACAATTTCTTGCTTTTTGTGTGTTTTTGTTTTATTTTACAATTATTTGCTTTCTTTGTTTTACAATTTTTTTGTATTTTGTTTTGTGGTTTCTCATTTCATTATTTTGTTAAGGATTTTCCTACTTAAATGAATTTTTGTGATTGTTTCCTTTGTCTGTCTGTCGTTTGATATAACGTTAACCGTCCCTTTGCCTGCCACTCTGTCTCTCCCTCTGATACGCTGGATATTATGAAACAAAGCCGAAAAGATCAAGGGCTGTACACTTAAATAATAAAATAAGTTCTTGCGGGGGGATTCCACATGCTACACTACACTTTTAGCAAAAGCTTAAAATAATATTCTCCTGAAATAACATTAAAATTTTGATTTTCAATTTACATTTTTTTCGATTCAATTCACTTTTCTACCCATTTGTAAAAACATTTTTGAACAACTAAAAAAAGATTAAAAAAACCAATGTTGGGAAGCAAAAGATATTTACAATTATATAAGTTAAAAATGAATTACAGTTCGTTACGGTTTAAATTTTGTTTCTTCCCATAGATGATGTGTATAAATCGCGTGTGTGTGTGTGTGTGCGTGTGTATCGCATAAAATAATTGTCAAATATTGATGAAATGGCCAGCAATCGAGGACCGGAATCAAGTCCAAAAGACGTTTAAAAACTAAACTAAAACCTATCAAAAAATAGTCATAAATTTGTATAACAAACACAAGGATTAAAGGAGTAGCACACACATTCAAAATACAGGAGATGAACGCTTGAGGGGGCGAGGTGGCGAGGGAATCTGTTAAATCTTACGACTAAATGCTCTTATTTGAACAATTTGCAATTAGAAAGAGACAACAACACAGGGTACGTGGCCATGGAGGGGACATGCTAGTGGATGTGGAGGGGTTAGGAGACTGTCCTCCGCCGGCCTCCGGCCTGTCGCCACATTCACCGCATCCATGCGGACTTGCGCTTGATCTTTGTACGCAATCCACGCACAGGCTTCACCTTATTCTTGACCGCTGCCGCTGCTATTGCCGCAGCATTGGCCATAGCAGCAGTGAGATGTTGGGGCAACATGGCTGCCTGTCCTCCAGCCAAGTAGCTGCCATTTACGCTGCCAAACAGCTCTGTATGCTGCTGTTGCATCTGATGTTGCTGCTGCTGCTGTTGCATCTGGTGGATCTGGTGCTGCTGCTGCTGCTGTTGGGCCAACGCCACATTGGCGGCGGCACTGCTGAGGAGTGCCATCTTGCTGCCGCTGCCATTCGAGTAGACAGACTGTGGTGTGGACGACAACAGTGGCTGGTACTGTTGCAGGAGGTGGTGCTCGTGATCCTCCTCGAGACTGTGGCTGGAGGGGCGCTTGTGTGGCGAGCCGTGACTGCTGCCGCTGCTGCCGTTGCTGTGATAATGCGTGGTGGCCACCGAGCCGCACTCAACGATGGATGAACGCGACAGTGAGAGCAGAGCATCGACACCATCACGATGTCGCTGCTGATCGGCCAACTCCTCGGGCGTAATGTTGTGACTGTGGAGAAGAGGGAAGGGAATTAGGTTGATTCAAGGATCCCGCCCGCCATGCCCTAGGGGACTCACTTCTCCTCGCTGCTGTCGTAGGCCGCATCAGAGCTGGCGCAATTGCTGTCCGATCCACCGCCGACATTGGCCTGAGCCTGTAGCTGCATCTGGGCCGGTGTTTGCCCCGCCAGAATATTGCCATTCATAAGAGGTGTGGAGGCGCCGCTATCCGCATTGCTATTGCCGCCAGCGGAATAAGTGTGATCCTCGCTGGGCGAACTCGTAATCACTGGGGCCCTGCAAGAGACAAATACACATAAGGGTAGAGGAGGAGACTATAGGTTTTGACCGGTATGCTGGCTTACCCATTTTGAAAGGACTCGGTGAAGGCCTTTGGTCCGTGTTTGAGGAAGAGCATGGCCGCCGCAGCATGCACATCGTCCATGCTGTCCGCTCCGCAATCGCGCGCCAAGCGCTCAAAGTTAATGCCATCCCCATTGGCAGTTGGGCCAGCAGCAGCAGGAGCAGCCGCACCTCCGTTGCCCACATAAATGCACCTGCCGCCGGTGCCGGTGCCGTTGCCGTTGCCATTGCCGTTGCCGTTGCTGCTGCTGTTGTGGTTTTGGTTACCCGCATAGTCGGCCGATACATCGTCATCGTAGACATCGCCGAGGAGCAGCTGGCGCGTCGGCGGTCCACCATCTTCGCGGATCTTGCGGAAGGCCTTGGACAAGTAGGGAAACAGCTTAGGATCGACACGCGCATGACTGGCACTGCCTCCTCCGCCGCCGGCACTCGATAGTGGACTGGTTGGCATGGCGGCCGATTGACTAGCACCACCGTTAGCCAGCACCAGGCCATTGCTTTTCGTGGGTGTGGCCAGTGCCACTGGAGCCGTAGAGTTGCCACAGGCAGCGGCGGCGGCGCCGGCAGCCACGCCATCAAGCACATCATATCCGCCGGATGATTGGGCCGCGCCATGTCCACTGGGACTCTTCAGCGATGTGCTGATCTTGTCCACCGCTGAATTCGGAAAGAATGGCGACCGATTGAGGGCCTGGATGAGATTTTGACGCTGTTGCGGCTCCACACGCCACAACGAGCCCTTGCCCATATTGGGCGCCTTCTCCACTTTGACGAAACTCTTGTTAAGCGACAAATTGTGACGCACACTGTTCTTCCAGCCATTGGGGGCCGTCTTGAAGTATGGAAAGTGCTGAACAATCCATGCATATATCTCTTTCACAGGCAGCGCCTTCTCGTTCGAACCCTCAATGGCCATAAAGATGAGGGAGCTGCAGGTAAAATTTGGAAATCTATTTATAATCGAATCTAAAAGAGAAGTTCGACTGGGATCGCTCACCTAAAGCTATATGGCGGCTTGTTGTTTGTATGCACTAGCGGATCGTATGGCACATTGTTGGGATGCTTTTGCTTCTGCGTTGTGCTGCCTGCTCCAGCACCTCCTCCAGCTCCGTTGCTGGCATTGTTGGCGTTGTTGCTGTAGCTGCTGTTCTTGGGTGCCGATACCACATATTGGGGCGTACTGGTGTGCATCCTGGAGTTCACTGTCATATCGAACTCCTTCAGCGAATCCTCATTTTCGTAGCTGCTGTAGCTATTGGGACTGCGCAGATTCAAACCGGATCCATTATGATTCCCCATTGTTGCATTGATGGGCGGCGGTGGCGGCGACACAGACACATGCATGCCACGCTGTTGCTGCTGCTGTTGGAGGTGCTGCTGCTGCTGCTGCTGCTGCTGTTGTTGCATTGGCGTGGCATTTGTGTAATAGATGCTGCCACCTCCTCCCAGAGCCGTCTCCGTTGGTGCAGTCGAAGAACTGCCAAAAAAAAAACAAACAAATAGAGAGATTATTTTTATGGACTGCCAACGAAGAGGCGGAAATCCTTGAGATACTCACATGACATGTGTGGATCCGGCGAGATTATTCACAAAACTGTAGCCACCCGTCAGGGGCGAGGCTGTGATCAATCCCGTTGTGGTTATCAGCGTCGAATGCTCGGGCAGGTGCTGTCTGTTGCTGTTGCTACTACTGGGATTGCTGCTGCTTGTATTCCAGGGCATTGTGCCAGCGCCAGAGAACTTGACCGTTTCGTAAACGGTCGTATAGCTGCTGGCTGCCTTGGGGCCTGGACTATTTCCAGCCCCATTGCTGCCACCCGATGATCCATTAACCGACATGGAGGAAGCGGATGCGGAAGCGGAGGTGGACGTGGAGCTAAGCGATGAATTGTTAGATGATGCGGGCGAACTGACCACCGTCACTGTGGAGGCCACATGGTTGCTATGGTCCACATGGACGTTCATCTTCTCCCGCAAATATTTCTTGTGGGGATGGTGGGTGGTTGTATTGTGGTGGTTGCTGTTGTTATTATTTGGGGAGCACGGCAGGGCGGACGAAACAGAGACCGTTGCCATGGATGTGGGGGAGGAGGTCTTGAATGTTGTTGCACCCGTCCCATTGCTGGTCACATAGAGCTGTTGGGGCTGCTGCTTGGCGGGCGAAATTGTGGCTTGTGCTGCTGCTGGTGTGTTGCTGTTGCTGCTGCTGCTGCTGGTCACCACCACAGGCATGTAGCTGGTTCTTGGGGCCATCGTCGTCGTTGTTTTGGTGGCCTTGTACTCCACCACTGTGGTGGTGCCGCTGGGTCCCTTGTGCACTGTCGTGGTGCTGTAGACGCCTCCCGGCGTCCCCTGCTGTTCGCCCGTCTCCACCATATCGATGCTGCACGCCGGCAGCTCCTCAATGAGATCGCCGACATGGCAGACTGCCGCAGGAGCCTTGAGGGCCACAGCTGCTGTCCGTTTGGCCTGCGATGCGGCCGTTGTGGCTCCGCTGCTCGTGACAATCCCCTTGATCAGATTGCTGTCGCTCAGCCACGACAAGGAGCGCAGCTCCCCATCGTCCGCTCCAGCTGCAGCCGCTGCAGCGGCGGCCAATGCATCTGCCGAACCCATTTCCAGGGGCTCGGCGGCCAAAAGTACAATATTTCCACCCGTTCCAGCGCCACCACCGCCCGTGGGCGTGGTAGTGACTGCAGTGGCACTACTGTCGTAGGCCGTGAAGCCGCCGTTGTGGTTCGGTTGGAGGACGACATATTTTGAGCTGGTGGCCTGCATGTTGCCACCTCCGTGATTGATGCTGCTGCTGCTGCTATTGCTGGTACTCGTGGTGGATGATGATGAGGCTGCTGCTGCTATTATGGAAGATGCGGTTGATACTGGTGCTGCTGTTGATGCTACTGCTACTGGTGCTGTTGCTGTTGCTGAGGTTCTGATAGGTGGGGGGATTACGCTGCGGTATCCATGTACGGCACTTGGTGCCGACGCTGGCGCTGGCGCTGCTGTCGTTTGTAGATGGCCACGCAATTGGCCAAGATCCCGCGTGGTCAGCACCTGTGCGGGATTATCTGTGGACATGCTGCAAGAAAGAGGTCAACAATTTAGTGAGGAACCAACAATTGTAAGGATTTATTTGTCGAAAGCCTTAAAATATAGTTTCATACACAAATTTCCCATACTCGAAAAGGTAACTTGATTTTTTCTGAGTTACGAGAAATTAGACCTTCGCTTTAATTTGTCTTGCCGGATTTTTTTACCGAGAATGCCCATTGCATTCCCAAAATTAAAAGACATGTCGTGCGTTTTAAAAACGGAGAAATAAGAGACAAAATGCTTGCTAGACTCAGATCATCATCATGGAACGATCATGAGTGCTCCTCGTCTGTATCTGGAAGATATTGTCTCATCGTTAAGTCTGAAATTCTTTGGGTAAATCACTTCGCTCAGACATGAACATCATTTCATGGAGTATTTTTAGCCATTTTGATGATGTAATGATTGATTTGACGAAATTATCAATGTTGCTGCACTTTGCGTCGAGACAGTCATTTAATGGATGTCGTGAGCATGACTAGACACAATCGGTTGTTGTTGTTGTTTTTTCGATGCTGCAACGAACGTCCTTCACACAGCATTGGTTGCCTACTTTGCTGCGCATTGTTACACACGTACATCGAATGTACGCGAGTGTGTTCAAACAGCAGCGGACATACGAATAGTTCCGCTGCTGAAAGAGCACACAATTTACAGATACACCATTTTTAGACACACAACTTGTATCTCTGAAAGATTGTCAACACCAAACTTTCAACGGATTTTTCAACCTATCATCTCTTTTTGACTGTTACAATTACTTTGACCGCGACTGTGTGCTTTTTACTTGTGCTCTCCCACTCTGAGTCTCTCACTCTGGCTATCTTTGTCTGACTATCTCTGCTGCTGCTGCTCTCTCGTTTGTCGCTGCCATTTTATTGCTGCTTTGCTAGTTTACGTGTGTTAGCTTTTTGTGCCGTTTTATGACGCGTCGGCAGGGCAGCAACAACGTCGGCGACGTCACCCACAAGCCCGCATCGCGTCGCGTCGCTTGAAGCTATTAGCGCGCTCTGTCTGCCTGCAAGGGTTCACCTGCCATGCCCGCTTTTTCTCTCTCACTCTCTCTCTCGGAGTCAGGCACTCCTTATGCCTGCTGCTCTGCCTGCTGCCTCGCCTCTGCTGGCTGGCATGTGTGAGTGATTAGTGGATTATCTTATCAGCAGTTTTCATTTTAGTTTCGTGTGTTCATGGCTGTTCATGTGTGTGCGTTTTGGGCTTTGGTTATAGTTTATTTCTTTACACTTGCATTCGAAGAGTAATAGAAGCAGATGGAAATGTAACAGAAACGACAATAAATCAAAGAGCGAGTCCAAAGATTATTATTTCATTCATGCATTCACCCCCACCTCATTAACCTCACTTTTACATATTCTCCTGCATTTACCCAAGCTTCTCTCACATTGCATTTCAAGACATAACAGAAAAAATCAAAACAAAAATGCACCCCAATGCATGTTGGAGGCTTTCTCACAAAAATGAATCCTTCATTCATCATTAGTTTATTCTCTCTCCATCCTTTCAGTCAGTCTTTCAGCAGTACCCAATACCCGTCCGTCATTCACTCAAGCCCACAATCAATAATTACTTCATTACATTTATTCATCTAACAATTGATTTCATCGAATATTCATTGAACCCCCTAAAGCGCAGTTTGCAATTAACTTAAATATTCATTTTCTCTTTTTGGGCCAACTTTTTTGCTGTTAGGCAAGCGGCGACACGGTGCTATGGGTGGCATGGGGCATTTAGTGCGGTGCCGGGGTGGCAGCCAACAAAGTGTATTATTATTTATTGATTTTCAACAAAGACCAAATATACACATGTATGTGCATATGTATGTATGTATATAGGTACAACAAAAACAAATAATACAACAAAATAAACACACTAAAAAATGGCCGGCAAAGAAATTTACTTTGACATGCCGTTAGTTGGTCTTCTTCGTCTCTCCATATTCGTTTTTGTTTTGCATGTGCAAAGAGCAGCAGAGGCAACAACAATAAAGCGCGCCACAACAAACGAGAAACAGAATGAGAACGAAACGCACAAAGCAATAGCAGTAGAGAAACAACAATAAGAAGAGCACCAAAAACAAATAAAAAGCTCGCACTGTCGCTGTCGCTACCTCTGCTACTGGCTAAGACGACCTCCAAAACTGGCGTCGCAACGCTGTTTCTCCCACCTTACAGTGGCGTCTCAAATAAATAGACAAGGCTCTGGGAGCAACGCTGCGACGCAGTTTTGTCATACCCTTTGCTTAATCTGAGTATTTGCGACTTTGCAATGATATGAGTGAGTTTATCGTATAGGATCGAGCCGCAAGTGTATCAAGAGCTTCGGCCTCTGACGCTGGCCTTCCTTAGCCGATTTTCGAAAGTTTACATCGTTGTCTTGGCAACTTTTTTTTGCTGCTGCTGCTGCTGGAAAAACAACAACAACAAAACCAGCGGCTAAACCAACACAAAATGTATGAACAATTCTAAACATTTTTGCAGGACAAAATTGGGATGGTGAGGGGATATATGCTCCGAGAGTCTCCTATTTCCTATCTCTCTCTCATCTGTTCTGTACGTATTGAGACACAAAGAAAATTGTTTGACTTTCATGAGAGCCCGCTCGCCTCACAAGGCCTCACCTTGTCTTTAATACACTTTGGAACAACGTGGTTTTTCGTGAGGACAGGCCAATGCGAAGAGCAGTGTCTGTGTGTGGGGTGGTGTGAACGTGAGGTGGAATGGGATCAGAGAGGTGTATTTAACCGGAGAGGGGCGAGTTATGGCTATGGCTGCCTTTGACATAATAAATTAGCAAATATGGCCGCTTAGAGACACCAACACAACTGCAACTATTTGTTAGACACACATGTAAAAACAAACAGATACTGTGGTAGCCGCTTGCATGACGTTCCGATACACAGGCCGCTGCCGATACACTTCGCTCTCTTAAATGCCGTAACACAACACGCTCTCTTTCTTTTTGCATTTTCTCTGTTGTTTATCGTTTTTTTTTGTTTTCCAAAGAGAGCAGGGAAGGCCTTGTGAGCCGCTCTTTATTTTCTCTTTTGATTTTATTTTGTTTATTATTGCCTTTTCTTTCTCGCACTCTCTCTCTCTCTCTTGTACGTTTCTTCTTTTGGTTGTGTGGTGATTAGGAGAGGAGACGCCGACGCCACCTAGTCACAGTTTACGTTCTAGAAACGTCAAATGTTCTGTGACCTGCAGACCTTTGTGTTGGCAAGCAGTTGGAAAGCAGGAGAGGAAGCAGTGGAAAGAAGAATCAGCAGCAGCAGCAGCTGCTTTAAATGTCAACGGGAGGAGAGCTGCCACCCACAAATGTCAGTCAGTTGTTCAGTGGATAGAATGATGGAATACAAGGATAAGTGGGCGCAAGGATGATTGAGAGTGTGCGAGTGTGTGGGAAGGACAAGTATGCGAAGGAAAGGCGAGGTGAAAGGAAACAAGGAGAAGGAAGAGGAAATGAGGCAACACTTGCATTTTGGTGCCACTCTTCTAATTGTGATTCTCCCCCAATTAGCCAGCAAGCTGTAGAAACAGGCAGCAGCAAGAAAGCAAGCAGCGCGTGGTGATAACTGTACCTGAGCGTGTGTGCTGCTTGCTAAAAAACACACAAAATAAAGAACATAAACAACAATCGCTAATGAAACGCCAGCCAGGCCAGCCACTGGATGAGGCCGTTTCTGATGATGTTCATGTAGAATGATGATTCATCCAGATACACACACACACACATACATACATACGAAGGCATCAAGTATATGCTATATGCAATATAATGAGCATTCTAAGCTAAGGGGGAGCTAGGGGAAAGCTCTCGCCAAAAAACCAGAAAGTATCATAGACATGACCTTTTGATAACACCCCCATCTGGAGGAAAGTGAACTTTGACCTTAAGGATACACACTGTCTATTATTAGCAAGATATGCCGCTGTAGCTGCAAATAACTTTTGCATCCTTTCCACGACACCCTTTAATAAACGAACTGCTTGCAAATGGCTGATTGTGGCAATCATTAGCTCACCCTTGATACCCTATCAATCCGGCTTTCCCATTATTCAAACAGCTGGTTCAAGAACTAATGATCAACCATAAGAGACAGTTATGTTGCAGAAATGCAGTTATTTCATCACAGCTTTCATTCTTTCGTGTTGAAGCAGTACCCACGCATGGCATACCCTGCGCCATCGGAATACCTGGCTTCGACACCACTGTACAAGATAAAAAACTGCGTGTAATCATCGTGCAACTGATCATCCTGCCCTGCTTCAACTTCTCTGCACCCCTCCATAGCGACCAACAGCCAGCATGATTTTTGTTGTTGTGAAAATTGTCGCCCAATTGAAAAGCCAGAGAAGGAGAGATATACATTTAGAGTGAGAGACAGAGACATAGAGGTATGGATGTGAAAATCTATATGGAGAAAATGTTAAATGAGTGGCTTCCTCTTTAAATACAATAAATAGCAACGAATGTAAAAGGAGCGTGAGAAATATGATGATCAAAAACAATCAAACAAAACAAAAATCAACAAAATATGCAAAAGAGAGAGGGGAGATAGATACAAATAGAGGGGGAGAAATGTTTTTAATGCCGGCTTTCTGCTGTGCCTTTTGCAGAAAAAAAAAACTGCGATCTCATAAATTAAATTGAATTATATTTTAATTTAATTTCTTTGTGCCGTAAATATGCTGCTTTTGCTTTTATTTTTGTTCTATAAAAACATTCGTATAAAAATAACACAAAACAAAATTTATAGCCACAGCTTTCCAAACATTTCACGTAACAACAAAAGAGAGATTGAGAGAAAAAGCGAGAGAGCGGGCGTAAGAGAGCGCCGAAAAGCTTTTGCATACTTCCGGCCATCAACAAGATAACAGGCAACAAAAAGTGGAATAGCAACCAAAACAGCCAACAAAAGCATCAACAACAATAGCAACAACCACAACATAAAGAAAGAACAGCAACAAAAAGGTAAAACGAAAACGAAACAAGAATCAAAAGGAAAGGGAAACACAACAACTTCTGCTTGAGCATTTTTTGAGAGTATGTACTGCAAAAACTCAATGCTCTCTCTTTCTTAGTGAGCTTACTCTCTCTCCCGCCCTCTTTCTTTATACTGCATTCTCTCTGCGTACCTCTGTCTGTGTGGGGCATTGATGAAATATAAACAAATATTTCTGAATTATTTTCAAACAAAATCTAATTTCATCATAACTGAAAATTTGAATACTTGGAAAATTTTTTAAGAGTTTTCCAATAACCTTTATTAACTTCAATTACTGTTGGATTTTCCTTGTAAATATTTCGCTCGGATTTTGCAGGCTTTTTTTTAAATAAGAAAATTTTTTAGGTTATATCTTTAGATATGCAAGAATTTTCTCTAGACATAACAACAATATAGAAGCGTCGGAGGGGGCAGAGGTAGTAAAACAAAAGTTACGATGCCGACGAACCACGCGGCGTATACGTAATGCTCCCTGACGTATTTCTGTTCTCACTCTCTCTCTATGTCTCTCTGTATTTTTCCCCTGCACATTACGTATACGCCTCATCGAAAAGCGAAAAGAAAAACTATAAAGAACGTAGGAGATAAAAAAACAATAAAAACACAGCTAAAAAATGAGAGTACAAATTCAATACAAATTTATAAAATAAAACAAAGTGGAATCAGAGATTATAAAAATCGGAAAA